CATTGAGCCATGTTTCACAGACAAATATAATGTCGAAGTTAGCCATATTTAGGAGGATGAGAAATTCAGGTATTTTATTCACGAGGCTTCTTGCATTGAGTAGTTTGCATTTAAGGCTGGCAGTAGTTGGAATTGAGGTAGTTGGGGGCGTGCGTGCCTAGTCTTGGGTGATGGTGGATCGGTTGAGGTAGGGTTGTGGTTGAGGGTAAAAGCTGAGTATTGGGTTGCGTGGCTTACTTTTGATACAGTCAGCATGGTAGTCAATGTACAGGTCCTTCTCTCCATTGTCTAGACGGTTTTTGAGTTCGATGCGGAGTACACGGGAGCAGGCACGTTGCTGTATGGTTAGGTCAGGGCGGCAACGGAGGTTCTTATGGTTGGTGTTGGTTTTGGCGAGTGAGTTTATAGTATAAATGAATTTACGTTTGCTTGACTAGAAGGCCTCCAATGTCCTTTCCAACTCTGTTATTCTGTTAAAATGGCCTGTGCCTGGATAGGGTAAGGGCAGAATGTTCCAGATATATAAATATTAACACTGCTATGCTACTCCCCAAATATATTAATTCTTTCCTAATCTTACTTTTAAATATATATCCTATGTAATTGCAATTGACTTTTTCTATAACTCTTTCATCATTCCATATTTCCAATACAGGTAGTCCTCGACCATAATTGAACCCAAAATGTACGTTCTTAAACAAGACAGATGTTAAGTGAGTTTCCCCCCATTTTATGACCTTTGTCAGTTGTTAAGTGAATCACTGCAGTTATTAAATTAGCAACAGATGTTAAGTGAATCTGGCTTCCCTATTGATTTTGCTTGTCAGCAGATGGCAAAAAGTGATCAGGTGACCCTGGGATAAATACTCATAAATATGAGTCAGTTGCCAAACATTTGAATATTGATCACGTGAACATGGGGATGCAGCAATAGTTATAAGTGTGAAAAATGGTCATAACACACTTTTTTCAGTGCTGTTATAAATTTGTATGGTCACTAAATGTGCTGCCCCGCTCCCCCCAGCAACAAGAGTTAAAGCAAGAGTTCTACAGGAGCTTAATCAAACCCCCAAACAAGTCCTTGGAAATTTTTATTTTTTTATTTTTTTACTGTATATTTTATTTTTTTATTTAATTTGATTTGTCAATTGCTTACAAGATAATAGATATAAGAATAAATATAGTTATGAATCCATGAAATGGATTCATATAAGAAAAATAAAAGAAACAATAGGACAGGGACGGTAGGCATGTTGGTGCACTTATGCACACCCCCTACAGACCTCTTAGGAAAGGGGTGAGGTCAAATGTAGACAGTCTAAGGTTAAAGTTTTTGGGGTTTGGGGAAGAAATCACAGAGTCAGGTAGAGTGTTCCAGACATTGATCACTCTGTTGTTGAAGTTGTATTTCTTGCAATCAAGTTTGGTGCGGTTAGCCTTGAGTTTGTATCTATTGTGTGCTCTTGTATTGTTATGGTTGAAGCTGAAGTATTCATTGACAGGTAGGACATTGCAATGTATGATTTTATATACCATACTTAGATCAGACTGAAGATGGCATAGTTCTAGGTTTTCTAGGTCTAGAATTTCAAGTCTGGTGGTATAAGGTATTCTGCAATGAGTAAAAGAGTGGAGAACTCTTCTTGTGAAATATCTCTGGACTTTCTCAACTGTATTAATATCCGATATGTAATGCGGGTTTCAGACTGATGAGCTGTATTCGAGTATTGGTCAAGCAAATGTTTTGTATGCTCTAGTTAGTAGTGTGATATTACCAAGAAAAAACTACGTAGGATTAGGTTAACAACTCTTAATGCCTTTTTGGCTATGTAGTTACAGTGGTCTCTAGCACTTACATCATTAGAGATGAGAATTCAAAGGTCTTTGACAGAGTTTGGATCATCAACAAGGTCTTGACTGTTCACCTTGTATTTTATTTTCTGATTTTTTTTAGCCAATTTGTTGAGATTTGAAGTTGCCATTTGTTTGATCATTCTGATACATAGTTGAGGTCTTTTTGAAAGGTAGCAGTATTGTTGGTGGTGTTGAATAGCTTAACATCATCGGCAAAGAGAACACAGTTGCTCTTAATATGATCACAGAGGTCATTTATGTAGAGTATGAAGAGGGTTGGGGGATACCACTGTTGACAGGTACAGTATTTGACAGGACGCTTCCAATTTTGACTATTTGTAGTCTGTTTAACAGGAATGCTTCTATCCAGTTATGCAGGTGTCCAGAGATACCATAAGATTTTAGTTTTAGTATTAGTTTCTCGTGTACCACTGAATCAAAGGCTTTACAGAAGTCTATGTAAATTGCTTCTATTGCTTTGCCCTGATCGAGTTGTATAGTCCATATGTTTTTGCCGTGTAAGAGTTGCAGATTACAGGATAGTTTTTTCCTGAAGCCAAATTGTTTATTAGAGAGTAGGTTGTTTGACTCTAAGTGGAGGATAATGGATTGATTGATAATTGATTCCATGACTTTACAGGTGATGCAGCATAAAGAGATTGGTCTGTAATTTTCAAATAGGCTGGGGTCTCCCTTTTTGAAGATGGCAATGACCGTGGCTTGTGACCATGGGTTAGGCAAGGAGCTGGTCCTGAAAGATTTTTAAAAGATTATGCTTAGAGGTTCGGGTATGGTAGTGGATAGCTTTTTTAAGAAGTAGGCACATATTCCATCCGGACCAATAGATTGCGTAGTGCTTTTTCTCCATTGTCTAGACGATTTTTGAGTTCTGTGCGGAATACACAGTAGCGAGCACATTGCTATAAGGTCAGGGTGAGAACAGAGGTTCTTATGGTTGGTGTTGCTTTTGGCGAGTGAATTTATAATATAAATGAATTTACGTTTGCTTGATTCATTTTTGCAAATGACCCTGCAGAAGCATGGGGCCATCGAGCCGTCTCTGTTTTTGAACTCTGTGCCGATGCGGGAAATGTCAAGTATTTCATCAGGGGAGATGGTTGATGCTTGATAGTCACTGATGATGTTGTGGACAATTGTGATGTCATCATTATCATTGATGTCCTCTAGACCAAATAAGATGGTGTTTGTACGTTTCTGTTCGTGCTCGACAGCTTCTCTGACGAGGATTGGGAAATCACCCCCTTGTTGTGCAGGTGTAGATTCCAAGCTCAATACAGCAACAGTCACTGGGCAATCAAGTCTAATGGGAACACACCAAGTCCAGGAAAGCAGGTCAAGAGTTGAAAATGGCATGAGCACACAAAGCGCAGAATTGGGCATATTGCTCCAGCAACACTCAAGGCCTCAGGGAAGAGTTAATTAAGCAATGCCAGTGTAGCCCTTCATGAGAAGTGACGTTGCTGATCAGCGTTGTACCTGTCTGTTCTCTATGTCCTTGGATCAGGAGGAGGTTTGCACTCCATCTCCTCATTACTAACAGGCCCTAGCCTAGAGCCTCCTGGCCAACTTGTTGTAGCTGCAGCTCATATCCCTCAGCCTCAGCCTGTAACTCATCCAATCCACCCAGTTGAGGCTCCTCCATCAGGATAGCATTCTTTGAGCTCCTATCCTGACCAATACTCGACTTCATACTTTCCTCTGAAGTCTCATACATATCCTTCTCTTCTGAACATGCATCTGGAAAGGGTCCAGGGGTTGATCCATTACACTAAATATACTGTTGTAAGTCAAGGACTACCTGTATTATAACTAGATTAAACAAATGATAATTCATCACCTAAAATCTGATAACCAAATATTCTTAAGCCAATGTGTCAATGTTCTAATTGAAAAGATTTTTACCTTTAGTTTCAAAAGATTGTTTCAACTTAAACATCAAAAATTAAACCAGAAATAGTATGCATTCCTGTTGTTAATAAATCTCAAGTGCAATAAATTGGATATTATTTTCCTACATCATCTCTTTTGTAAGAAACATCAAGCATATGGGTAATTGTATAATATTAGAGTGTATGCCTTTTAAAGCTTTTATAGAAATTGTTACATAGATGTTTAATTGAAGATTATATTAAACACACAGAAGTGATTATCTGGTAATCAAAAAAATAAAATGTCAGAAAAAGATTGCCAAAATATTTCTCTGAAACTATAAATGACTTTTTTATTATGCTTATTTCCTTCTCAGTTATATACCCCTTCCTCATGTTTTATTCCAGTAATATGCTTGAAGTGAATCAAATTGTAAAAGAGACAGGCGCTCTATTAAGGTACTGCTAGCTAGCAATTACTCTTCTGTTCAGGGCTTTCCTAAAAGTGGAAATCTGTTCTGTCATGTGAGAATCACTGAGAACAAGCAGTCCCTCAATGAAAATTCGCATCTACAACCTCTTTATATCTGTCACCAACAAAATTCTTTTTTTTATAATTCTGAAACTTCTTCATCAACCTTTGATACTTATTTCATAATTTAAACAATTCTTGGATTTCCATCCTGCCTCAGTTCATTTCCTTATCTGCGTATCAGGTATTATTTCTTATCATACCGAAAGCAATGGAAACACAAGGTAATTGGCTGGAAACCTTGGTGATTTTATACTTCTGAGAGAGAGTCTCTGTGTGGCATATTGAAGTAAAAACAGGTCTGTAACTTAGTCTTCTTTGTTCATGAACAAAGTTTCATATAGAATTAAACGGAAAATGGGGTACTAATAATTTGATTATTCAACTATAAAACAATAATAAAATTAAGAAAATTCATAGTATGATTCAGAAATAATCAGAAGATGAAAGAAAAATGTGCCTGATGACAAAAACTAAATCATATTTTAATTTGCTTTAAAATTTATTACTGGCTATGATACTATAGTCAGAATAACTCTGAATTTGAAAACATTATGCTTCAACTTTTATTAAGCTGCCTGTTATGAGTATCTCTGAGTACATAATTAACACTGAATTATAAATAGCACCAACAATAACATTTCATTCTGTTAGAACAGTGGTGGCTAACCTTTTGGGGCTCCTGTACTGAAAAGGGGCATTGGTACTTACCTGACACGCCCTTTCTCTGTGAGTTGTGAAGAGCATCCATTGTTTGGGATGATGCTTCTGTTTCTCGTTTGATAGGTTGGGCTTTAATTGAGAGGACGTTCCTCCTCCTCCACGGGACTCCTCCCTAGCATCCCCAGTTTTGGCAAAGTCGAAGTGATGAAATATTTCTTCTCCTTCACCCTTTCTAATACTTGGCCGGAATAACATCCCACCAGATGAATAAGGGTGGGGATGGATGCTCTTCACAGCTCACAGAGAAAGGGCGTGTCAGGTAAGTACCAACGCCCCTTCTCCAGATGAGCTGTTCAGAGCATCCATTGTTTGGGACATACCAAAGCTTGGCGTGTCCTACGGGAGGGCTTACGTCTGGTTCAGATTCCCCTTTTTCTTGGTCCCTATGGACCCTTTGTAACACTTTCCTGTCAAAGGCAGCCTCCGCAGAGGCGAAGACATCATTCTAATAGTTTCTAAATAAAAGGCTATGGTGAGGCCCATTTTGTCGCCTTGTAAATTTTCGCTATTGGCGCTTGTGGCCCATGTTGTCAACATCGCAGCGCTCCAGGTCGAATGAGCAGTGATGCCCCTGGGTACAGGAAGAGATTGTGTCTCATAGGATTTGGGAATTGTGCTCTCAGCCACTTACTGGTCATTGAGGAAGGGATCTTGCACGCAATGGTGGGTGGTTGAAAAGAAACGAAGAGAATCTTTGTTTCCTAACACACATCGTGCAGTTGAAATATATGCAGAAAGCTCACCTTACATCTAGATTGTGGCATTGTCGTGCCAGATTTTATGTCAGTTTCAGACAAGTGTACGGGAGTATCAGTTTCTATGGTCTGTGGAAACCCAAAATTATCTATGGGTGAAAGATGGATCTGGACTACGGACCACTTTGTCTGTGTGAAAAATACAGAGCTCCTGTCTAACTGACAAGGCTACTAGATCCAAGATGTAACTGGCCGATGTAATGGCAACCAAGAGAACCACCTTGTACGTTAGGAATGGAGACGCATGGTCTACATGGGCTCAAAGGGACTTTTCTTGAGTGCGGTAAGGACCTTGTTGAGGTCCCATGTGTGCTATCAATGCACTACAGGAGGCTGTAAGATTGTAGCCCCGTGCAAGAAAATGGCATATGCGTGGGTGATGAGAGATGGACTGAAAGTCTCTCCTAGTGATGACCGATGCTAAGGCCTCCCCTTTGCCTGTTTATATAAACAAGATAATAATGAAATGCTAAGGCCTCCCCTTTGCCTGTTTATATGAACAAGATAATAATGAAATGTCATATAAATAACACTGCCGTCTAACAGGTGTTCCCCTGAAATGGACAGCCAGAGCCATCAGAACCTTCGTAAGAACCTTGGCAGATGACAACCCAAAGGACAGTGCAATGTATTCAAAATGTTGAGTATTGTAACAAAAACTAAGAGTTTTGCTATGTGGGGATCTAATTGGAATGTGGGGATGCGCCTCCATTAAGTCAATGGAGGGTAGAAAATCGCCCCTTCTGAAACTCAGAAGTATGGAGTTCAGTATACTCATCTTAAGCCTCCTATGAACTATGGATCAATTAAGTCATTTTAAAACTAAAATTGCCCCTGCTGATCTGGTGCCACAGGTTGGTTGCCTGGATCTCCAATAAATGAACAATAGCTGTCTCCATCATGCTCCCTTTAACAGGATCCCCAGAGAGAGGGCAAGTAATGCAAAAGTTCCGGGGAGAGGATGGAAATTCTATAGCCAGGCCTAATCTTCTGATACCTCTAACCCAGGAAACAGAGGTAGAGGCATCCCATCTGTCCGTGAAAGGCTTGAGCCTTCCACCAATAGGGGCACAGTCGTGAGGCCTATGTTGTGCCTCAGAGACCTCTATTTCATATTCCTCAAGAGATTCTTTTGCTCTGCCCTCCCCTTCAGTATCTATCTCCAGATCGGAAACTATCTGACTGTTGGTGATTCATTCTGGGGACGGTCCCTGGAGTCTGGAGAGAAAAAGTCCCTGGTAGAGAGAATGAAGGAACCCTCCAAAAAGCTGGGAAGGACTATTTTGGGGTCTATGAAAAGAGAGGAACATTTTCTGCTTCTAATCTCTATCAGAGATAGGTCAGGGGCACCACCAACCAAATTATCTCCCTATATTGGGGAGAAAGCAAGCTTCCATTAGTTGTGTGATATCTGCTTGCCAATGTCTGAGCCATAGCAGTAGGCGAGGAGTAACCTGAGATGCCCTGGCTTGAGCAGATAATTTAATAAGAGTTTTGCGGCATCCTTGTGTGCCCTAATATTGGAATAATCTCCCTCAGATGGCGGAACAACTTGAGAGACGATCTAGTAAAAAAAGGGGGGTGCGGCCGACTCCGCTCTTATGGCCCTCACATCAGATCGACATGCCCTACATGGGGACAACTCGACCCTGTATATCCTTTGACTCGAGAGCCTCTTCTGCTTCTGTTGGAATTGCAGAGGAAGATGATAATTGCCATTATTGTTTTATCTACTATCGTGGTGATGAGAAATTTAGCAGAATGAGAAAATCAAATTAAAAAATTGCTATCATATCCTGTAAGAGGGATATATGCCACTGAAGAGACCCCTTGTTTCTGGACAAGGTCCAAGAACCTCTGTTGGACAGTTATGACTTTTTCTTACATTATTGGTTGGGAGAAGATTAAATCGTCTGACCCCCCCCCCCTTATAGTAACGATTGTTGGGCCGAGGGGAATGGAATATCAAGGCAGGCAGAAGGTTTTGTTTTTTTAAACAACAGAGACTTGAAAAAAGTCTGAGGGCGAAACAGACCTGAAGGTCGGTGGTCTGGCTTAATGCCTTCAATGTTTGAAATGCCCCCCTTTTTTAGGGGATCCGCCTCTTACAGATTTTGGTCACTGTTGTGAGTAGACCCTTCCTCAACTTGTTCCATCTGGTCCCTAGTTCTCCCTCATCCTGTGTATCATATGAATGTGTAACTGGATTATATAATACTCCCCTGAAGGAGGTACCTGCTGGTAATGATGGTCTATTCTGCATATTAACTAAATCGAGTGAGAATCAAGGTCAGATTGTGGAGGCTGCCTAGCCATCAACTTCTACTGTGCCCCGGCTGCGATGCCTCTTCAAGTTGCCATGTCCCTCCAGGCCTTCAATTTGTCAGGGATATCCTCTGGGAGGAGGAATTCTGGTGTGGTCCCACAACTGTCTGTCAGGCCTGGGTTGAAGGCCTGAAGGCCTGGGTTGAACCGCTCCCTCTGAGGCTCTCCTGGATGGCGTTGAGAGATCCAGGGATGGAGGCAAGGTGAAATATGGAACATTTCACAAATTGTGTGTCATCCTTGCACAGGGGCCATGCTAATCTTCTCTGTATCATTCCAGTTTTAGTATATGTGCTGCTGAAGCAAGCATTCTGGAACTGGGACCAGCCTGGCTGGGGAAGAGGACTGAGACTTCTGTTCAACCTCCCTCATGCATTTTTTTTTAAATTTAAGATATACTCATCTAATGCATTTTGGTGTCTCTTGACATCCTTTGTTGCCTTAGAGGTCTCTCTAGGACGTTTTTACCTACTTTGAGTTGGTTTATTGTCCTCTGGTGGTATTTTTGGTTGCCCTTGAAGATTCTGACCTAAAGCCCACAAGGTGAGATATCTATATCTATATATCTATATGTGTATGAGATATTAATGGACTGTTGACTGCTCCAGAGGACTGATATAAACAAAGGCAGGGAATCCTCTTGATATTTGCTCTCCCCTCCCCGTTTTTTGGTAAATTCAATTTGTTATTATGTTATTATTCATAATATTGATATCATTAATATTGTTATTATTGATATTTTTGTTATATCTGTGCACAGCTACTAACATAAATTGTTGTGCAGTTACCTAACTCATAATTAGATGACTGAATATGGAATCAAATTGTGAGGCCAAATAGAGAACACCTTTCAGGACCTGTATTGCAATTGGGTGATCCTGCAGTCACTGGCGCTCAACAGCTTCCTGCCCAGATGGACACAGGCCTTGGTGCTCGCTGTTACTGTGCTGCTAGAATTCTGTGAGGGCTGCCAACTGAAAAAAGAAGCCCAATAGTCAACCTCAGAAAGAGGTCCGTAATCGGCATAAATGTCCCCTGGATCCTCACGGAGATCCTTGTGAGGGGAAGTGGCCTCTCAACAGATAATGCCATGGAATTCTTATAAACAAAATGATACCGGCATTGTTTTAGTCATCAAGATGTAGCATCAACCATTACCTTTGAATGTGAGCCGATGCAAATCTAACTAGAATTTGAGAATTTGAGCAGGAGAACTCAGAGTCCTCCGGCTCCACCTGATCAATAGCCCTTGCTTCTTCTATATACTTTGTGGGAGTATATCTGAAATTACAGAATCTCCTGTGGAGAGATACCTGAGGGTAAGGATGCTCTGTCCTGCTTAGTGACTGGAGTTATAGGGAATTCCAGTCAGAAGGAGCGCTCTGTTGTTCAGAGCAGTATGCTGCACCCCCGCAGAGATACATTGGCGTATTGCTAATTCCATCCACAGTCACATTTTTGTGAACCTGCTTTCATCTGTGAAGAGCACAGGGCACCAGTGGCGAATTTGCCAATCTTGGTATTCTCTGGCAAATGCCAAATGTCCTGCATGGTGTTAGGCTGTAAGCTCAACCCCCACCTGTGGACGTCGGGCCCTCATACCACCCTTATGGAGTGTGATTCTGACAGTTTGAGCAGCCACATGCACATCTGTGGCCCGCTGGAGGTCATTTTGCAGGGCTCTGGCAGTCCTGTCCCTCCTTGCACAAAGGCGGAGGTAGCGGTCCTGATGCTGGGTTGTTGCCCTCCTATGGCATCCTCCATGTCTCCTGATGTACTGGACTGTCTCCTGGTAGCGTCTCCATGCTCTGGATACTACGCTGACAGACACAGCAAACCTTCTTGCCACAGCTCGCATTGATGTGCCATCCTGGATGAGCTGCACTACCTGAGCCACTTGTGTGGGTTGTAGACTCCGTCTCATGCTACTACTAGAGTGAAAGCACCGCCAGCATTCAAAAGTGACCAAACCATCAGCCAGAAAGCATAGGAACTGAAAAGTGGTCTGTGGTGACCACCTGCAGAACCACTCCTTTATTGGGGATGTCTTGCTAACTGCCTATGCTTTCCACCTGTTGTCTATTCCATTTGCACAACAGCATATGAAATTGATTGTCAATCAGTGTTGCTTCCTAAGTGGACAGTTTGATTTCACAGAAGTGTGATTGACTTGGAGTTACATTGTGTTGTTAAGTGTTCCCTTTATTTTTTATATAGTGGGCCATATATAGAGCATGATGTTGTGGCCTGGTGGTGAAGATGCTTGCTTCCCATTTGGAAGGTTGTAGCTAGTGGCAGATAGTACTCTCTCAAAGGGCAAAGAGAAAATATCAGGCACAGCCATTGAGAATGCCTATCTCTAAGATCCCAAAAGATACAGTTTGCCAACAGGACCTGGCATGAACCAACCCTGTCTTAACTGATCACACATGCAGAAACTATCAGAGTATATTTCTCAATTTTTCTAATATTTTTCTAATATTTCTAATATTTTTCTAATATTTTTAATACCAAATATCTAACGTTGGCATGCAATTTTTCTTCAATTTATGGACTACAAATATTCTTGATGCTACCATCATAAATACGAGTATGTTTTATTTTTTATATTTTCCTTCAAAGAGCAATAAAATATATAATTCTTTTTTTAATTAGCACAGGTGATATACAGATTGTTTTTATCACTCTAAAAACTAATTCTTGACATTGCCAAAATGTGCATCTTTTATCCAAAAAACTTATGAGGAAGATTTCCTTGGTCATTGGTATAAAAAATATGGTTTATCAAATTCTCAGGTTTCACTGAATTTTTCCTAACTTTAATTTAATTTTCCAAATTTCTCATGATCTCTGAACATTGCAAAAATCAACATTCAGTGTTCTTATAGAAATCAAAGGCAATCCATTTCCCTATTTAAAAAATAGATATATGCTGATACAGAATTGAAAACTGTTGATTGAAAGATGGTCTTATTGACATGGACTATGAAACATTTTCATTTTTGTTTTAATTGCATACTAATAAAAACACAATGAAAATATTCAAGAGAAAAATACTTTTTCAAGCTGTACTTAACTGAACAACACTGTCACAATAAGAAACAAAAATATATAAAAAATTTCTCCTAACTTCATGCCCAAAGTTGATTCAAATATGAAACACATTTTCAGCTTATTATCCTCAGACAATGCTGCCAATCTACAGATTCCTAAACAATGACAAGCCTATAAAAATGTTTATGCAGTAAAAGGGCGTTGGTACTTACCTGATACGCCCATTCTCTGTGAGCTCTGAAGAGCATCCAGTGATGGGGAGGTGCTCCAGTCCCTTCTAGGGAGGCTGGGCTTAAACTTGAGGACACTCCTCCTCCTTCACGAGACTCCTTAGCGTCCCCAGTTTTGCGAAGCTGAGGTATTGATACCCTATATGCTTAAGCCTATGTAATAACCTTGGCCAGAACAGATCCCCTACCAGATGGAATAAAAGGGTGGGGCTGGATGCTCTTCACAGCTCACAGAGAACGGGCATATCAGGTAAGTACCAACGGCCTTTCTCCCATGAGCTGTTCAAAGCATCCAGTGATGGGACATACCAAAGCTTGGCACTGTCCTAAGGGAGGAACTCCGTCTGGGTTGCAGACCTAACTGTCTCTGAAATAACTTGCTGCAAAACTCGCCTACCAAATAAAGCCTCAGCAGAAGCAAATACGTCAATTTTATAATTTCTAATAAATGGAGATGGAGAAGCCCAGGTTGCAGCTCGGCAAATCTCCTGTATTGTAGTATGGGTTGTAGTATAGAAATCGAAGCATGGTGGTCCTTAGTGGCTCAAAGGGACCTGTAATAAGGGTCAATAGTACCTTATTTAAGTCCTAAGTTGGATATTGGTGCACTACGGGGGGGGGGGGGGCCCTCAAGTTCTTGGCACTGTGCAGAAAACTCCGAATGCGAGGGTGATGAGATATGGAGGTAAGATCATCCCAAGATATGACCAAAACCAGGGCCGACACCTATCTCTTCAGACCATTGGTTGATAACCCTTTGTTTAGGCCCTCCTGTAAAAATTCTAATTGCCCTGCTGATGGCGAAGTGGGGTCGATCTGAACCCTCTGACACCAACAGCAGAAGCTAGACCAGGTGGCCTCATAGATTCGGTTCGTCGAAGGACGTCGAGCTGATTGAATAGTGTGAATAACTTGAGTAGAAAGGTGTTCATCTCTCAGACGTCACTGTTCAACTTCCATACAGCTAAGTTTAGCCATTGGGTTTCCAGGTGTAGCACTGGGCCTTGAGACAGCAATATGACCGATGATGGGATCCTCCACGGTGGTACTGTTGAGAGGTCCTTCAGGTCCGTGAACCATGCTCGCCTTGGCCAATAAGGAGCCGCTAATAGCAGGTCCGCTTTTTCTTCCAGCAACTTCTGAATCAATTTGGGGATCATGGGGAGGGGAGGAAAGGCGTATAGCAGTCTGGTGGGCCAGTGACATCTGAGGGTGTTCACGTCCTCTGCTCCCTGCGATGGGTAACAAGAAATGAATCAGGGAAGCTGTGCACTGATTGGGGACGCAAACAGGTCGACTACCAGTTGGTCCAAACTCCAAGTAACCTCCAGAAAGATCTTGGGGTCCAGACACCACTCTGATTGGTCTAACGTGGCTCTGCTGAGCCAATCCACTTGTACATTCGCTACTCCAGATATGTGCTCCGCCTTTAGAGAGTGAAGATGGATTTCGGCCCACAGGAATAGTCTTTCTGCTTCCCTCATTAGTAGATTGGAATGAGTGCCCCTTGTTTGTTGATATGGGCCTTTGTAGTTATGTTGTCTGTTAAGACGAGCACGTGTTTGCAATGGAGATGTGGGAGGAATTGTCGGAATGCCATGTACAATGCTCTTAGATCTAGCCAGTTGATATTGTGTGCCTTCTCTAAATCCGTCCAAAGGCCTTGCGCTGTATGTGATTAGAAGTGCCCCCCCCATCCCACTAGACTGGCATCTGTTGTAACAATCGACCTGTGTGGATCCTTGAAAGGGCATCCCTTGTTGATTTCAGGTCGTGTCCACCATCGTAAAGACCTGAGAACAGTTGATGGAACTTTTACGCAAATCCTGGCGTCATCTCTCCCAGTGCACTGGTGTGGCAACAGGAACCATTGCAGGGTTCTTGTATGGAACTGGGCCCAAGGGATAATAGAAATACAAGAAATCATTTTTCTGAGCAATTTAGAAAGGAGACATAGTTGTACTTTCCTAAGAGTTCTGATCTGTTGAGCCAAATTTCTAATGCTTTCTTGTCTGTCAGGGGAGAGGAAAACTTTGCCTTCCAGGGTGTCAATGATGGTGCCAAGGTGAATGAGTCTAGTAGAGGGTGTTAAATGACTTTTCGACCAATTGATTGAGAACCCATGTTGTTGTAGGGTTACAAGTGTAGTTTGAGTGTGCAAATTTGCTTGATTGATGGAAGATGCCAGAATAAGAATGTCATCCAAGTAGCATTGAAGTCAGATGGACCTATCTCTGAGTGAAGCTGTCAAGGCAGCCAAGACCTTTGTAAAGGTTCTGGGAGCTGAAGCTAGGACAAATGGGACAGCAATATATTCGTAATGGACGTTGTTGTAACAGAATCGAAGGAATTTGAGACTTCCGGTTTGCCAGGCTTCGGCGGCGGCAGGGATCCGCGGTTCCTGCTGCGCTCGCTGCCTTGGTGCCTCCGATCCAGACGGATTTGGAGGATATAGCTGCCCCGTAGAGGCAGCTGAAGACAGGGGGGATCCGGACAGGAGTTTGGGGGTGTCGCCTTTTCCCAAGGCGGTAGAGCGGCAGTCAGCAATGGCCGCCACAAAGAAGCCTGCAGCTGGACAAGATCGTGCAGGAGGAAGAAAGGAAAAGTTTTTCTTTGGCTGAACCGGGATAACGAGGAACCTTCAAAAACCTGGAAATTTGATTTTTTGATTGCTACATTGTTTCCCAGAAAAGATTGCAAGCGGCAGAAGAAAGTTTTGAAAGGGAAAGTTATTTTTTCTCACTCTCCTTCCCTACGGAAATAGCTGATGGAAATCTGAAAAACCTGCTTGGGCATAGAAGGTAAATAAACCTAAAAATTAAAGCCAAGGGGATAAAAGATTTTGGAACATTGGAATTTAAAATTAAACTTTACTGCTATAAGTGGGAAGGAAGAGGTAAAAAACTTATTCTAAGATTCCATAAGATTCCATTGCTTGGAGTTTATAAGACTTAGAAATATGTGCTAATAAGGCTTCCAAAAAATCATTTTGAAATTGTAACTGAACTTTACCCCAGGAAGAGAAATTAAACAAAAAAGAAGAAGAAAGTGTTAATGAGACAGTTTGTTCTGATTTGGACTGCTTTGTGACTTTGTGACTTTGTGACCTTTGGGCAACTATCTTTTGAAAGACTAAAAACATTTGGGTTGCTTTTTTTTTAAAAAAAAGAAGATGACATTATCTGTGGAAGAACTACAAATGGAATATCAAAAGTTACAAGAAGAGGAGCAAGAAGGCAAGGGCTCTTCTGGATCTGTTTTTCACTTTTTGGAAATGGCGATTTTTACTTACCAAGAAATACAACAACAAAAGGACTGGGATGAAGAAGAAGAAGCCATCTTTAATGGACAAAAAGTTATAGTTGAGGAAAAGAAAAAAGGGGGAGTGAAAATGGAGAATTCAGAACTTAAAAAAGCAACCAAGAAAGGGAAAAATAAGATGAAAAATCGATACAATGTCAGAAAGCAACAGAAAAGAGAAACACAACAGAGAGAGAAGATTAAGAGAGTGGAATTTGAGAGATGGGGGGGCAAAAAGATTAGAATTTATAAGAAAGGAAGGGGAAAAGGAAAGAGAAGTCATAAAGGTTTAAAATAAGATGCTAAAAAACAGATTTTTTTCAGAGATAAAGGGTAAGAGTTATTAAAAAAAAATGATTTTGCAAAAGTACATAAGATTGTATTGTAGATATTAGTATTTGAAATTGAGTTAGAAAATTGAACTATTATATGAGTTAATAATGCATTAAAGGGAATGTATAAAATGTTTAAGAGTTAACAATAGAGTTTAATATTTTATCGAATATTGTTTTTATTATATTATAAACTCAATTCCTTTTCTATTTTTGTTTTATTATTCTAAAATGTATTACTTAGAACGTACTAAGCAAAATCAGTGTGGAAAGTATGTATTATTTCAAGTGTTAAATTTAGGGGAAAGATAGAAAGTTGTCACGCTTCAACCAGTGATTACAGGAGAAATATTGTATTAGAAAGAAAAGATAAATAGATGATTGAAAGAGAATGGACAAAGGATACAAGTATAATTATTATTTAAATTGAGACGAAATAAACATAATAGAAGTAAGAGAGTGAATAGAGGAGAGAAAATATATAGAAAATACAGAATGCTAAATAAGATATGAAATAGTATATTAAGCGAGCATGAATTTGATTTATGTCTGTACAAAAAGAGGTAACACGGGGTAAGCCGCTTTCCAAAAAGAAGTTTTATGTATTTATGTTTTGTGTTTTGTTTGTCTATGTCTGAATTAATCAAATTTTAGAAGAATGTAAGAACAACATTGGAAGAGAATAATGAAATTGTAAATAAGACAGATGGATATAAAGAATATATATAATCTAAGACAAAAGAAATATAATTGAATAATAGAAGGAAAGGGAGAAATAAAGAGAAGTTGGGATAAGATATGAAGTTGAATAGATAAGATAAATACATATGTTAAATTATGTTTGTATGGAAATGTGATAATTTGGAATTATTCTGTCTTTAAATAAGATGTCTTATTGATTTTTTCAGAAAAGATGCTTTATGTTATTACATTCTACGTTTAGTTTGTTTATATATTGTTTTTTAAAAATTAATAAAATTTGTTTAAAAAAAAAAAACAGAATCGAAGGAATTTGAAATGTGAGGGCCTAATTGGGATATGTAAGTAAGCTTCCGTGAGGTCTATGGAGGTAAGGACATCATTTTTTTCTGATGCTGAGTAAGATGGATTGGAGAGTGGTCATTTTAAATTTTCGGTAAACTAAATATTGGTTTAGACGTTTTAAGTCCAGGATTGCCCTCCACCCACCCACCCCCGAACTTTTAGGGACCGCAAAGAGGTGCGAATAAAAACCAAGACCTTTTTGATTAGAAGGGACAGGTTGTATGGCCTGGATCTCTAGTAGATGTGCTATGGCTGTGTCCATGAGAAACCTTTTTTCTGTGTCCCTGGAAATTGGGGACTTCATAAAAAAATCCAGGGGGGGATGGAGCTGAACTCTAGTGCCAGACCAAATCGTACTGTGTTCCTGACCCATGCGTCAGTGGTAGAGGAGTCCCATTGGTCAGCAAACACTTTTAGGCGACCGCCAATGGGAATCTCGTTGTGGTCATTACTTGGACCTGCGGAAGGGCCTAGATACTGTTCCTTGAAATTGTCTCCTAGGATGGAGTCCCCTTCTATATCTGTCCCCAGGTTCAATTCTATCTGTCTGTTGTCTGAATCCAGGCTGTCTTTGATAGTAGGGTTGGTAGAAGGGGCGAAAGGAACCCCTACAAAAGGGCTGTGGTGATCTGGACTCTGATCGATGAAAGAGAGAAGAATTTTCTTTTTGGTTCTGGTTTCAATTAGGAGGGGTTCAAGCGCACTGCCAAATAGTTTGTTCTCCGAGATGGGAGCTGAGGCAAGCCGCCACTTGTGCTTGACGTCTGCCTGCCAATGCCTGAGCCAAAGTAACCTTCTAGACACAATTTGGGAAGCAATGGCCCTAGAGGAAAATTTAACTACATTGAAGGTAGCGTCTGCCGAAAACTCTGCAGCTGCGATTAATTTAGTCACATCTTGATGTGCCCTAATGTTTAATTAAATTAATTTCATGTCCTGTGGCTTTAAGGTGCTGGAAAAGGGAAGAAGTATTTTCTTTTCTGACTGCGTTCTTGTGTTCAGTGATGAGTGCATTTATTCTCCTGTTGGTTTGTGCAATGTATGTGGCTGGGCAATTGTTGCATGGTATTTCATAAACTCCTTGGTTTTCTAGCTGGATCTTGTCTTTGGGGTTTCTTAGGATGTTGGCTATTTTTTGGTCAGTGCCAAAGGCTGTCCTGATATTGTGCCTGTGGAGAATTTTGCTGATTTTATCTGTGGTGCCTCTAATTAAAGCCACAGGACATGAAATTAATTTTGAGGGAACCAAATTAATCTCCAATACTGAACACTTCAACAATAATCAGGGAAGCCATCGAAATAGAGAAACACCCCCATAACATGAATAAATGGGGTGATACCTCCCGCCTACCAGACATCTGGAAACTAGCCCTTATCAACAAACAAGTCCCAGCCACAAAAACC